CGCACACGCACGCACACGCACACACTCCACACACACACACACACACACACACACACACACGCACACGCACGCACACGTGCAATGCCTTTCACTCCGCCTTCTGACCAAGCAAACATGCTGTGCATCGATTGCAACTCCCGTCTATTTCGGCCATCCTGGCAACGCATTTGCTTTCCCTCGATGGTCACATCCATTCGTTTTCACTGGGGTTGACTATGATCGTGAGCAAGTGGCTGGCCACTCCTGTACACACGGACGCGTACACATACATGCAAACCAACAGAGCTGCGAAACACTGGCATCAACATCAAAATACTCGCATACACAAACATGTGCAAGCACGCTACGAAGACAATCCTGACCCACTGCCACCCTGGGCTGCCTGTTTCGCTGTTCCTGCTGTTCCTGCTGTTGATGAAGGTGGTGGCGCACGTGCTTGCCTGAACTTGTCCAACGTCCCTTGTCCTGCTGTCATCTTCGCCCGCTTTGCCGGCGCACCACCGACTGCGGCCCTTTTCCCACTGCTGTTGCTGTTGCTGTTGTTGCTGCTGCCCACCGCAGGTGGCGGCGGCCGTTGTCGACTCGTCTGTGCTGTCGATGACGATGACGATGACGATGATGATGGTGGAGGTTGCGACGCCCGAGCCATGGGTGATCCGTGCGGGCTTCTGTGCGTTGCGCGAACACCACTGCCACTGCCACTGCCACTGCTGGCGTTGCCTGCAGTTGTGGGCCTGGGTCTGCCAGCCATCATGCGTGCTGCCTTGGCTGCCGGGGACGAGTGCGATTGCGGCGGCGCCGCTCTCCGCTGCGCACTCTTTCCTCTCGCAGCGTCCCGAGCCAATGACGATGACGATGACGATGAGAGTGACGAAGATGCGACCAGCAGTGGCTTCCCTGCTTTCTTGGTGGCGCTCGCTCCTGCCGCTGCTGTCTTCTTCGTGCTGGATTTGCTACCGCTGCCTTGCCTCATGGGCTTCCCCTTCGCTGACGCGGGCGCCTTTGTTCCCTTCTTTGCCGATGCTGCCTTCGACGATGATGGTGACGGTGTGGCCTTCGTTTTCGCCTTGCCATCTCCACCATTTCCACCGCTCGCTGCCTTCGTCTTGAGCGTCTTGTACACGCGGCGCAGGGTCTTGCTCTGGTTCTGGGCGTCGTCGGGGCGGGTGCGTGTTGCCACGTGCAGCCACAGCGCCGTCTTGGCCTCCCCCTTGTCATACTGCACCTCGTTCTTCTCCCGTACCCGCGTAATGTGGTCGCCAACAGCAAGCAAGGCCTGTCCCAGCAAGAAGTGTGATGTGTGTGTGTGTGTGTGTGTGTGTGTGTGTGTGTGTGTGTGTGTGTGTGTGTGTGTGTGTGTGTGTGTGTGTGTGTGTGTGTGTGCGTGCGTGTGTGTGTGTGTGTGGAGGGGAGAGGAGGCGAGAGTAATGGGCCGATGATTACATGAGTACATCAGTTAAGGAGGAGATGAAAGGGTGACGTGTGTGCAAGGGTTGTGAGGCAAAGGGGCGGGGGGAATGGCAGGCGGACAGAGCAGTGAGGCGTGTGTGCATGCAATACATATGCTATGCTCAGAGGTGCTGCAAATGATGCGAACAAGTGCGGCTGCTGTCGTGCTCACCCCGCTCTTGTCCTCAAACTCTGCGCCCTCATCCGCCAACGTCTTGATGTGCGCGGCAACAGGTTGCATCCATTTCTGTCGGACCACACGGCAATCGAGTGTGAGCAGCGGCGGAGTAAAATCAAGGCGGACAGCAACGTAGTGTAGGATGCTGCAAAAACCAGCCACAACACACACACACACACACACACACACACACACACACACACACACACACAAAGCACAGACACGCACATGCACATGCACATGCACACGCACATACACACGCACACGCACACACACGCACACACATACAGAGCGCAGCAGGCTGCCGTACCGTGACAAGCTTTGGGGTGATCTGCTTCTTTTGGAATTCATCGTCGCTGCCGGCACTCGCCGCAGCCTTCTTCTTCGGAATTCGCTCAACTGTGCATGTGTGGGCATGTGTGTGTGTGTGCAAGTGAGTCAGTGACAGCGAGAGAATGTGAGAGTGTGTGTACGTATGTGCGTGCGTGCGCGCGCGCGACCATCACGGCTGCCGCTCAATGGATGACTGCGAGCAAGCACAGCCAGTCGCTTCCAACACCAATAATAGCAGCAGCGTCTCACCAAAGGACTTGACAGACGTCTGCTTCGATTTCTTCCCGGGCGTGGCGTTGGTTGACGAACGCTTCTTGCCCTGATAGAAACACCAAACACCAAACACCAAACACCAAACACACACGTACACACACGTACACACACATACACCAAGCATTCGCATGGAGATGCAGAGCCAGTGAGGCGGTATTCAGTGCTTGGAACAGCGAAACAGCTCGAGAAATGGGCCGCAAAGCCACACATCTCAACGTGCACGCACTTAAAACACACACACATAAAACACACACATACAACGTACCG